GTCATCCCTGCTGTTCCAGACCTCTGAGGAAGGTTCTGGGGGAAAAGCCTGAAGCTGTGGCTTGTCCAGCAGCAAACCCAGCCAGGCAGGGACTGGTGGCTTTTCTGGGGCACTGTCCCCTYTTTTCCACCTCGTGCCCCGAGTGCCACCGTGGCACCTCAGCTCCTCTGTCAAGCCCCTGTGCTGTGCCCTCCTCCCCAGCAGCAGCCTGGGAACCCCTGCCCTGCTGCCCTGAGTGCTCCCAGCAGGAGGAATCACTGCCTGCCAGGAGAGCAGGGAGGTTTTTCTCAATGAACTGTCAGCCTGGAGGTGCCAGCCCTGCCTGCTCTGCTGTCACAGCACTCTGCTCTGTGGGCAGGCTGKGAGCATTGGACACAATTCTCCTCTCAGACAGGTGATGTCTCTGGACTGGCTAAGGTSTCCATCTGATTATCCCAGAGCTTCACACTGCTGCTGGCAACCCTGAGCCCCAGCGGACAGGCTCGAGAGAAGGGATAAAACCAGGMGATCAGCCTACGGATGCCAGGCTGTTCCATCACTAATTTATGGCAGAGGGGATRTAAATCCTGGAGACACTGAGTAACTGCAGTGGAACTCTGGAGTACGTATTGCTGCACAATAACACACCTCCTGCTCTGACAGCACCTTCAGCCTCCCAGCTCCTGGGGCATGGAGCAGCAGCACCCAGCAGCACATTCCTTCACAGCCCCTGGAGCAGCTCTGGGGGGCTGTGAAAGGAGCAGAGGGGCTGGAAATGGAGCAGGGGGGCTGGAAAGAGCAGGAGGGCTGGAAAGGGAGCAAGGGGGCTGTAAAGGGAACAGAGGGGCTGGAAACAGAGTAGGGGGGCTGGAAATGGAGCAGGGGGGCTGTAAAGGGAGCAAAGGGGGCTGTAAAGGGAGCAGGGGGGACTGGAAAGGGAGCAGAGGGGCTGGAAAGGGAGCAGAGGGGCTGGAAAGGGAGCAGAGGGGCCTGGCAGCAGCAGGAGGGGCAGCACAGCCCCATCACCCCTGATGGGCTCAGCTTGTGCAGGGTGTCTGTTGCTGAC